AGGACAGATCAAGTAAGGTCGTTTTCAATCTCACCTGGACTCTCGTCTTCTGTCAACATATTACATACATTTTTTCTATGTAAGGTTAAGGATTTGAATGTCGTAAGTTTTGGGGGAGAAAAACTTGTAACATGTTTCGTACGCGTTTTGGGAAAAAGTTGGCCAAAAAGTGCTGTCCTTTAGTTATGGTCAACCATTGACTTGATAAGAGTGTATAATATCCTTTTAAAAAGAAATGATATGGACTATAGAAATTTAAAATAATAATTTGATATAGAAGTAAGTTATATTATGTTATTAAATTAATTAATATATAAGATATTATAAATTTTAAAAAATAAAAAAACAGTTAATATTTAATAATATAAAATTTATTTTTAATATTTCAAATGACATGCTTTATATTATATTATTAATTTAAATTTTAATATTAAACTTTAATTTTATTTATCATTATCATTTTTTAAAAATATTAATTTAATTTAATTTAATTATTAAAAATAATTAATAATTAATATATAACTAATATTTATTTTTAATAAATTAAAATTAATTTACAAATTAATTATTTTTAAAAAATATTAATATTAATTAAATTAAATATAATTTGTGTGACTTTAATAAATTAATAGATGGCATAACCACAGCCCTTTAAATGTTGCCTACTTCTCTAATACCAAGCATGATGGCGCACCGCACATCATTTTGTTACGTTACAAAAATATATTTTGTTTAATTTGAATATTTTCCCTATAGTAATTTGGAAGTTCCCTATTTATAAATTAATTTTAATATATTAAATAATATATATTAATTATTTTATCAATTAACAATAATTTTTAACAATAAAATAAAATAAAATTAATATTTTTAAAATCAACCTTACGTAACCTTAACATTACAGCATATGACCATATCCATGCCTGCCCCAAGCAAGGCGAACATTGGTTTGTGCAACACAAAGCATCGGAAAAAGGGAGAAAATACAAGCTGAACATAATTAGTGGACTTAATAAAGTTCTCATGGGCTTGTCAAGCGTACGCATATTGTAAAGAGTTCTTGTAACTTCGTACATATATAGACGCACAATGAGTTAACTTCGGATTCCGTTAATGAGCCAAAATTCCCGAAACTACGACCATTGTTTAGTCTTCCCTCTTAACCTCCATACGGTAATCTGCACGATATTCAGATACATAAATACAGTTGTTAAAGATGGGGAACTTCATCAATTGGCTGGAAACATCAAATTACATTATATATACAAAATATATGTATATATATCATGTAATTCATATTGCAAAACATGGGTCTTTGAGTAAGAGACCGCCCCCCTCGGTTTTAAGGGTGAGTCCCTCATCCAAGAGCCTGTATTTTGTAGTTTAGTATAGTTTGTGCAATTATATATAACCACTTAAAAGTTATCACTCACTCACCCCAACTTCAAGGACGTATCAGAACTATCATCATACTCGTCTGGAGTGCCATTGGAGATGCAAACATTGGTTACAGACTCTGATGACTGGCCTTCCTCGTAGATCACATTCTCCGAATCAGCAGCAACTTGTTTCCGGCCATTAGATAACTGTGAAACCTTTTAGTTCATTATAATAGTTAGCCATTGTTAGCACTGAAAGGAATAGAATCAACTAGGAAAGCAGAAGGAACAAAAACTTTGTACTTGCTGTCTCAGCCGTTCGTTCTCTTCCATCAATTTGATTCCCTGCATTTTGAGACAGGAACTGCTGAGATTAATGTTTTATATATACTTAGCATATTGCAAAATTTATTAGACTTTGAAACCGACCTTTGTTTGAAGGTCATTGATTTCTGCCATTATCCTTTCACCCTGAAATATGCATAAGAAGGGTAGTAGTTTAGAGGTGAATTGGAATCTTATAGCCGTAACAATAGATCTTAAATGAGACCAAATTTGGCATAATCATATTGAGAAAATGCAGACCTTCCTCTCTATGACACGGGTTAATCCAGCTTCAAGAGACTTTTCTAGACGCTGTAATTCTTCAATACTTAATCCTTGGAGTTCCTCCCCCCTCATTTGCCTGTTTTGCATGGAATAATAAACCTTGATAAGCACACCAAGAACAACTAAGAACAAAATATATAATATATATAGAAAAGGATATGCTTAATTAAATAATTACCTCAGTAGGTGACTTTTCTCGCCTATTTCCTTGCTCAACCTGGAGTGGTTGACATCCTCTACAAGCTACAAAAAGAGTAGGAAACGGTTTACTACAGTTTATCAATCATTTCAAGTTGAGAGGAAAGAGCTCATATAATGTTAGAGCTACATATTACTGGCTAATTGGGTGGAGAGGTTAAAGCAAGCATCTTTCTGGAATCTGGTGTTGATGGGAATAATTGCATTAATCTCAAAACTGGTATCTGTATACTGTGCTTCCACACATTCAACAAAGCCTAAGCAAAAGCTAAAGTCTAAGCAAAAATTAGAGAAGAAAAGAGAACACCTGAGCTCCTGTTCCAACTCTAAAAGCACGACATTTGTGATTTCATGTTTAGGTATGGATTGTTTAGAAATGGACAAAATCATCTGATCAATTACATGGTAGACCAAATGCATTTACAAGTAAATGATAGACGTTATTTTTATCAGGAAAGAGAAATACATTGCATTAATTTGCAGTTCTTTGTTCATGAGAAATGGGCTCCTCAATGAGATTAAAAACTAACCTGCAACTCAAGAGACGGTTGCTCCAACTTCCCTAGGTTCTTTGAGTGCAAATTACGCCTTTCTAATATCTCCTTCATGCTTCAGAACACACAAAATGTCAATAAGTAGTAACTCGATTTATTGTCTTCAAGTGTCAACAACAAGTGCAGATATCACTTTTAGAAAATGTAAAGGGCGCATCCAAAAGAATTAAGAACGCTGCAAAATAAACTACCAAAATCAAGGTTATTCCAGTGATATTCTCATTACAGATTATTGCCACAATTATATATGGTGGGTCTTGTAAATAAAATAGCATTAACAAAAATAAGAAAAAGATATTTTCTTTCTAAGTTAATTACTTTCACTTTTATTTTCCATTCACATTTTCTTTGAATAGAATGGAATCATCGACTCTATTAGATCTAGTTTAGGCCACCTACTATTAAATATTTGAACATACAATGCCGTATACACTGAGGTACTCATTATATTTTTGAAAGTAGAGGGGAGTGCTCGCAACATTCTCTTTCTAACTCTTTTTTTGAAGACTGTTCTTATGATACATGATCTTTGAAACTATAAAAGCATTGTCCCACGAAAAAGTTAAAAGTTTTCATTTATTAAGAAGAAACCTAGATTAAAAAAGATCTAGGGAACATATATATGCTTTGGATACTAGGCATAATTCAAACACAACACAAGATCATGGATTCAACAGTACTCTAAGTTAGATGTGACAAGGACCACAAAAAAAGGAGGTGAGATGGAATGGGGATAAAAGATAAGAAGAAAACATTAAAAAAAAAAAAATGAGAGAGAGAAATTCTTTGGTAAATACTGAAGATTTCCAGATTCCAGCATCCTTTTCCATAATATATCATTAACACTTGGCCTTTAAATCTAGTACTAGCCCTTATGGTAAAAAACCAACAGCTTTTCTCTTGCTAGCTAAACAGGACACATGCATTTAAAAGGGAACTGGGAAATGTCTTTTTTTCCCCTTCATATAAATGTATTAAATTTACAAAGACAGAAATACAGCTTTCTGTGAGATAAGAGAGAAGAGGAATCAAGATATACAAAGACGAAGGAAAATACAAAAAAGAAAAAAAAAAAAGGGACAAATGAAGAAGAAGAGTGGCCGAAAAGAAGAAGAAGAAGAAGAAGAGCATTAAACAAAGTTTGCATTTTTGGGATGTTACATAAAAAAATAACTAAAAAAAATTGGGAGATCAAACAACAATAAGATCAAACAGCAGTAAACTCTTGAACAGACGTGAACATTGTTTTCCGACGACTCCATTTAGAATTCCAAAATGACCAATATCTTATTGGTTCACACATTTTTCTCAATGTTCTTCTCCGCAATCTAACTGAGTTCCACTGATTATGGATCTTAAAAATTCTTATTCCCCTCTAAGATCTGAACTCCTCGGTTCTCGGAGCTCAAAAACACCACATATTTACAGCAAAAAAATAAAAGAGAACAATATTTCAAGGGTTTCAAGCATCTACCTTGAGCTAGCATAGTCAAAGAGCTTCCCAGTGGAGGAGAAGATGACGAGAGCAACATCAGCATCGCAAAGAATGGAGAGTTCCTCTGCTTTCTTGAAGAGCCCTCTTCGGCGTTTGGAGAAAGTGACCTGCCTGGCCGTGGCGTTATCGATTTTCTTGATCTGAATCTTTTCCCTTGCCATTTTTGTTACTAAAAAAATATCAAACAATCAAAAAGTTACTACTATTTTGAGGACTAAGCATAGAATAAACCACCATACAATCAAAAACATTCTTAAATATGGAGGTTGTCTAGGGGAAAAGCAAAAGGGTCATAAATGGTGGGATATTGCCAAATTTAGAGAAGCAACAAGCATCTGGGACAAGAAACCCTAGTCAAAGACGGGGGAGACCCATATCAGATCTCGGAAAGACAGGGAGATGAGATGGGAACCAATCGCAAGAGTGAAGGGATTTTTGTTATAGGGTATTTACTGCATTTTTACTTACCAGTTTGGGATTGGGGCTTGGGGACAGTGTTGGTTATGGTGGGGAGAAATGGGGTTTTGTTTCCGATCAGGGAAAGCAAGAGTCACCAATGAGGAGTAGAGAGAGACAGCACAGAGACTGTAATGCGTAAAACAGTGGGAAAATGGATAAGACATAATAGCATGGGAAAGAGAAAAGAAAAGAAAATGCCTTTTTTAGTGCAGCAAGAACTGGCGGTACTTGTCCGTTTTCTACTTTGCTTGTGATTGTTGCAAAGGTCAAGGAGTTTAGTCAGGCGGTAAGTGAGACTTATAAACATTACTCTTTTATTTTTATTTTTTTAATAAATTTTCACCCAATAATTTTGACATAATAAATGAAGGATAATTATTTTTTTATGTAAAATTTTTGTTGAAT